GGTTGTTGGACGCAGTTGATTGTTTGCTCTCTCCTTGATCTTCCCGTCATTTTCATTTCGTCGATATCCAATTAGTAATCAAACAACCAGCGCACACGAGGACAAAAAAAAGGCTCGGTGTATGGGGATAAGAAAGGTTCAGTGTACATGGAGAATAAAGCGCATGCGCACAACTGAGGGGGTCAATTTGCGGCAATTAGTAATGATCGGAACAAAAAAAATGTTAAAATCGAATAATATCGCCCATGAAAATAGAAAATGTGCTTAATAAGTCATATACACCGCAAATCACAATATATTGCAATTACCGGGTAATGGATTTGAGTAGATGGATATTATTGTGAGTTCTATCATAGATGAAAACCAATACCCGCATGGCTAATGGATTTGAGTATTGTATGGACACTATACATGAACTGTCCTACACATATTAATAGCCATTGTTCAAAGAAAAAGATTAATAGACCAGAGGACAACGAAAGTCTATCCGCTTTCTCAATGTCGGAGGGGAATGGAAGCCCGACCCTTTTCCTAAGGATGCCGGACGTTGGTGACTTTGTGGTCTCCTCGGTCTCCCTGCTGTTTTCATTTTGAGGATATCAACTTAGTAGTCATACGACCAGCGCGCATAAGAAATAAAAAAAATCTGCTCAATGTATGTGAGGATAAGAACATTTTAGCGTACATGGAGGATAAAGCGCAGACGCACAACCGGAGGGATCAATTTGTGGTAATACTGTCCATAAAAATAAAAATCGAGATTAATAAGTCATTTACACCACAAATTGCAACATATTGCAATTAGATGATATTCTTGTGAAGTCTATCCATAGATGAAAAACAATACCAGCATTGGTTGCTGGATCCGAGTATCTGTATACACAATATACAAAAAATGTCTTACACACAATATCCATTTACCTTAAATAACCAATTTATATCCCATGTTCAAAAGAAAAAAGATTAATAGATAATAGGGCAATGAAAGTCCATCCGTTTTTTTAGTGTCGGAGGGGAATTGAAGCCCTTCCCTTTTCCTATGGCTGCTAGACGTAGATGTTTGTTCGGTCTGTCCTCGATCTCATTGCCATTTTTATTTTGTTGGTATCGAATTTGTAGTCCTACGACCAGCACGCATGAGGACAAAAAAACTTATTAGTGAATGTGCGGATAAGAATGGCTCAGCGTACATGAAGGATAAAGCACACGCGCACAACTTGAGGGATCAATTGGCGGCAATTTGTAATGACCTAAACAAAAAAGGTGCTGAATTGAGTAATAACACCCATAAAAATAGGAAATGAGCTTAATAAGACATTTACGCTGCAAATCCCAACAAATTGCAATTAGATGGATATTCTTGCGAGTTCTATCCATAGATGGAAAACAATACCCGCATTGGCCGCTAGATCCAACTATCTGCATACGTGCTATACAAAAAGTGTTTTACACATATTCATAGCCCATGTTAAAAAAAATAGACCAGAGGGCAATGAAAGTCCATCCATGTTGATATCAAATTAGTAGTCTTACAATTAGTGCGCACGAGGACAAAAAAACTATTTATTGTATGTGGAGATAAGAATGGCTCACTATACATGGTGGATAAAGCGCACGCGCACAACTGGAGGGATCAATTTGCGGCAATTAGTAATGACGTAAACCAAAAAAATATGCTAAATTGAGTAATACCGCCCAGGAAAAATAGGAAATGAAATTAATATAACATATACACCGCAAACCACAACATATTGCAATTATTTGGATATTCCTGCAATTTCTATTGATATATGAAAAACAACACCTGCATTGGCCGCACGATGCAAGTATATGTATACACTCTATACAAAAAGTGTCTTACAATAGCCCATGTTCAAAAAAATTAGACAAGTCCGTC